CCCCAAAACCCCAAAACCCCTCTAATCAAAATAGTTGTCATAAATGAGATATTTCCTAGATGTATATTTCACTTAATTAATAAGATCCAATAATCAAAAGCATAAATCCTGAATTTCTATCATTAAGAGATCTCGTGAGATAGTGGTTTTTCATTCTATATTTCCTTTGATTGATCATTAATTGATGACTCATCATCATCAGAATTTGAAGAGTCTAATGATGAAGTAGAACTTGATGATAACTATGATGAGGATTGAGAATCTTCGTTTTATTTTTCATAAATCTTGACTATATCTTGAAATCCTTTGAGGACATCCTAACGTTCTTGCTCAAATTATCCCTCCTTGAGACTTGTAAAGAAATCAATACTGATCTTTAAAGCATCTCTCTATGAAATTAGTATAATAGCATAAAATTATACATACCAATGGAGTTGGTGAGAACTTAAGCATATTTTTAGCTTAATCTATGCAAATAGGACCTAGACTTACGCTAGGGAATATTGTTTTGCTTATCTTATCAGTAATTTCAATCATTTTAGCTTCTCCACATCCCAATAATTCGCACATCAGCTTATAGAATTCAACTAGCGTCAGCTACTCTTAACAACCTATGTTGTATATACCAGTTGGAGTGATTTTTTAATCCAATATGTATGTAATAATGGTCACGACATCGATGCTCAGTACGAAACTAATCTTAATATTTTTAGCATTGTTATCTATCTGTAGTGGATACTTTTCTGAATTCTAGCACCATAGTATTTGCTACCAGAATCTATGACTTTCATCAAAAGGGCCAATCACATCTGGAAGTCTGAAAGAGAGTACTTTGAATTAAAGCTTCTACGACTGCTCAAATATGTAATTTTCAGCTAGAAGCTTCTTGAAACCATACGAGTCTTGCTTTTTGAGTTACTTCAATTGCTTTTCAGTTAGTTTGGACTGATCTAAGTACCCCATATCTTCAGTGAGCCCGCCTTTTTCAACAGAATGAGAAAGTCTTCTCATTTCATCAGCCCCAATGTCGATATGCGCCTAACTGCTCTCATAGGTAGAATCTAGACATAAATTATTACATTTAGACTTAATACCTGTGCAAATGTATAGATAAAGTTTTGTTTTATTGTGAAGCACTTCAATTGTGGTCTAAAACATAATTATTAATGTCTAAATTTACACACCTTTAAGTCACTCTTGAGATAAGCACTGAAATCAACAACCAAGTCAAATTGCTCACTGGCCCCACCACTCTTAATTTTCATGTCCTCAAACATCTTACCAAGCACCTGTTGGAACTCAAGTCTCTTGCCTCTATCTCCAACATAATGAAATATTCTATCTGGGTGTTATTCTGTTAAAGTATGAGATAGTCCATCCCTATTGATGTATGTAAAACAAATATAAAAGTGGCATACCAATACTTCTTGCCTCTGTTAATGAAGTAAACTAAAGTGTTTTGTCTTTTAGACAGAGTGATTAACAACTCTAAGCCCATAAATGATGATCCTCCTAAGACCAGAACATGCTGTAACTACTTTAAAAGTCAGCAATATCTATCGAAATCTTACTTGATTTTAGCCTTCCATTTTATATTTTTAGTAATAATATAATCTCTAATATATATTCAGATTCTTGGGGTTTTGGGGTTTTGGGG